AAATTATAAAATTAAACACTCAAAAATAATTAATTGAGAAGTAATTATTATTTAAATAATGTGATTATTTAAATTTGAATTTGAACACATCTAGATTTATCCATTTAAACTTATTTGATAAGTTGTTCAATTTAGAATTCAAATTAATTTAAGTTTGACTTAAATTCGAATTTGAATTTGAGTCAAAATTGGACTACAAGATAAAGAATAATTTTCTCTTCCTTCTCTATCTACAAATTGGCGCCACACAGGGATGAAGATCCCCTAAGGTGGCCAGCCACAATGGATAAGGATAAAAGGAGATTTTGTTCCAAATTCAAATAGGAGATAATTAACAAACTTTATCTTAGAGATAGAGATTTGATTCCTTTTTGAAGTTTGACTTCTACTCTTTAAATATGAGAATGATAGAAAATTGTGAACACAATTTTTAAAACAATTTTTCTGCCCTAAGAGTTAGGCTGGCCAAAATTCTCATGGTAGAGAGGAAGGAAAAAAGTTTTCTCTAAAAATTTCACATCGTGCATGCGTTGGTGTTTGTGAAAATTCGAGTGTTTATTGTAACCCGTTTTGTCTCATTTGTGCCCACACACACGTCTTCATGGATTCTAGGAATTGACGTGGAAGACATTAGTTTTCTAAACACAAAGCTTTGGAGCAAAGATTGTTCGAGGTCAAAGAACTCAAGTTATCAACCGAGTCGGCCTCATAAATTAATATAATCTATAGAGTATCTCAAAGTTTTTATGAAAATTTTTGTTATACACGATCCGCCCCCCCGCCACGCTTCCGCGTCCGAATTCGATTCGGCAACCAACAATAGGAACTCCTAAAACCTCGTGTGTCCTAAATTCACTAAATAAAATAATCATTCTTAAAAGTTCTCCTAACGCTAATGGTGACGTTGGGTAATATGTTCCACTAAACTTTAAAGTAATTTCGTAAAATCTACCTAAAAAGTGTTGGAAACCGAATCGAATTCGGATGCAGAAGCGTGGCGAGGAGGCGGATCGTGTATAACAAAAATTTCAGAAAACTTTTGAGATACTCTATAGATTATATTAATTTATGCACGAATAAATTAATCACATTAATTTCTATATATCAAGAACTTAATCAGGAAAAATACCTGGAAGCCGACTCGGATGATAACTTGAGTTCTTTGACCACGAACAGTCCTTGCTCCAATCTTTGTGTTTAGAAAACCAAAGTCTTCCACGTCAATTCCTTGATTCCACATAGACATGTGTGTGGGCACACATGAGACAAAATAGGTTTCTGAAACACTCAAATTTTCACAAACACCAACACATGCACGATGTGGAATTTTTTAGAGAAAAATTTTTCCTCTCTTTTTCCTTTGAGAAAATTCGGCCACACTAACTCTTAGGGCAGAAAAACTGTTTCAAAAATTGTGTAAAGAGTAGAAGTCAAACTTCAAAAAGGAATCAAATCTCTATCTCCTATTTGAATTTGGAACAAAAAATCTCCTACACCTTATCTCTAATGTGGCCAGCCACCCTAGGGTTTTTC